AATGTCCTATGCTAAAAAAATGGCTGAATATTATTATAAGTTTATTCATGAATTAATTTGTTAACATGTAATTCTATGGAAAATGTTCCAAAATGGTCGCTTTTTAGATGAAATTGCATTATGTTTTCTTGGAAACAAGTCCTTTTTTCTCCATGAAAACTTTAAATATGAATGACGTGCATGTATGTGAATCATCACACAACAATTTATGAATGATTTACTGTGATAAATTTTGTTCATGTTTACCGGTAAATGGTATTGAACCATATTATTCACTGACAACAACAACAACAATCTTAGATATATGGTAACCCTGACTAGACTAGACTCTAGACCAAGAAAATATGATATGCTTGTTTAGTTGTATGCTTTATTTTGTGCACAAAGACTGCACATGTGTATGGGTTCTAACATCAACTGACATGCCATATCAGTAATATTTAAATCTGACCTTACTTAAATTATTATTGATATCTGCATTCGCACCAAACTTACTGTCATACAATGATTCTCAAAGTAAGGGAACACTATCTACATATATTGGTGAATTATTACATTCTTATTGGGTGGAGTATATAATCAAAGAAACACAACACAATACAATACACAATCCTACAGCTAGTAGACTGTTTTGATAGTTAAAACAAAATGATTAAATTACTCTTTTTCATATTTTGTTTGAATTTTTTGCATTTGAATCATCATCCTTAAAATGTATTGGCCAATTTTAGCAATATATTTATTAGGTATTAGTAATATGTAGTGGTATAATGATAATGGTAGTCACGGCCTTGGACCTCAAGTATAGTTGTGTTATTAATTATTGAAATTTGATCTAATCCTGTAAAATATACAAAACGTTATGGATTAATTATAATTAGGACACTGGTATATTATACATTATTGGAGGGGGTGTTAAAATTCTCTATTTTTGGCAAATGCATGTAATTATGTCATTTTTGGTAAAAATTTATATTTTCGAGCACATACTACCAACTTGAATTTTATGAACTATTTGTTTGATGAAGTTATATTGACATGTGTTAACCAAACTTTTTTTTGTGGGTTAACCACTTTTGTCTTATGGGTGTGCGTTGCTTAACTTGGCTACCAGAATGTTATTGTAGGACAAATTAGCTATTATGATCATCCGGTCTAATGTTTGCAATGAGGCATTGTATTGTCTATTCAATTTGGCATCTCTTAGTGTGTTGGCATTTCTGTGAAAAAAAACATCTCATGCCTACCTTGTTTTGTACTCTTTCACTAGTATATATTAAGTGTTGCCATTGAATTCACACTGTGTCTGGTCTTGGGGCGAGTGTGGTGCAAGTTTTTAACTTCATAGATTCAGGCTCTAACCCACTTAATCTAACTTGGACAAATATTTAAAAAATATAATGGTAGTAATTGGTATGACACAATAAACTAGAGGGGCTGCTCTAGCTGGCTTCCTTGTTATTAGTTTCTCCAATCACTTACACTACCTGTTCTCAGAGAGCTGCTGTGAATGCAAAAGTGTAGCAATTCTACCTGGAGGTGCCATGCACCTTGGGGTGGGGGGAGGGGGGGTGATACAAGTATTTTTACAAGGGTCGACTGGCTGGTTGCTGCAATATAAGTGGGACCAGTACACCATTTGTTTTTATGTGTAAACTGTTGGATAATGTGATAATAAAGTACCATATCAGCTAGTAATATGTTACACTAAACATCACAACTGTACGTGATATGCACCATGGTGTTATTAAAGACAACATTTTTTTCCCAGTTCCTGCAACAATAGTTGAGATACCAGATTCACAAGAAATTGAGATATCTAGTTCTCCAGTGTTTACATGTCGTGGACATGGTAAACCATTGCCAGCAGTGACATGGCAGACAATTAACGGAGACCCTATTTCTGAGTCTAATACTGAGATCATAGAGGATGGTTATTTTATGAATAGTACACTGACATTCAACAGTGTAGATAGAAATGACAATGGTATATATCAATGTGTGGTGAATAATGGATATGGTGATGTGATTGAAGACTTTAATCTCACTGTCTTAGGCATGTATTATAAAAGTTTATCAATAATTAGTTTAGAAAAGCTATATCTTTTAATTTTACTCTGTTTCTTTCATTATTTATTCATTGGTTTCAGGTAAAATTAAAGCTCATGTTTGTCACTGTATTTACCAGAATTCGTTGCACGGATTGTTTCTTCACCAATTTTTTTAGACCTTATATTTTGTACCAGAAGTAAAAAAAATGTATTAAAATCTCCATGGGGCTATTTTTGTGAGTCCATGTGAACAATATCATCATTATTGGATAGATATCAAACTGTGATCAGCCACGATTGAGTTTGTTTATAATAGTAATTTTAATTCAATCTTTTCATAATTCAATTTTTTCATATAGAGGTACCAGATCAAGTGACAATTATAATTTTTAAAGCCACAAATGCTGAGATACTTGAATTGACATGGGAAGTGATTTATGATGGTAACAGTGACATCATACAATGCGGTGTTGAATATATGGAATTAGATGATCAACAACAACCAGTGACTGAATGGATGACTTACGGAACTGTTACTGAAATTGAGATACAGTATACAATTCAACTAGAAAACTTAGCCGCATATACCTACTACAAGGCTAGAATTAATTGTACAAATTCTCAGGGATCAAGTGTACCAACAGAGACTGTTATAGTAAGAACAAAAGAGTCTAGTGAGTATTTTTTTATTTACTCATTTTGAGCACTATAATGTTATTTTTTTCAATTTTGAATTCTTATTATTCTTTCAAATGCCATAGGTTCTGATCCACCAAGGAATGTAACATTGGTAGCCAATTCTGAAAGTGATATCACTGTCATTTGGTCAGTTCCAGTAAAATTGAATGGAGAATTAGATTATTACATAGTTTATTACTCAATTAGTAGTGGTGGCAACACTATGGAAAAACAAAGTAAGTTATCTGAATTTTAAGAGTATGTTTACTTCAAGACATCTCGTATTACAATGATAGTTTTCTCTATTTTTGATTTGCTAAAATTGAAGTAGAAACTTTGTGAGCAGAACCTTGATATCAATATTTGTTTTTTTTTTCTGATTGTTGAGAATATTAGTCATATTTCGATTTTGGAAGAATGTGCCCTGTATTTTCAAAAACCTTGTCCGAAAAACAGATGTGACAGTGGTACTAAATTTTGTAAAGAACATACTTGATTAGAAATGATGGAAACAATTAGAATTCTGAATAAAAATAATAATAATAATAAATGATAAGGTTATGGTTGAAATCTCCTTTTTCTGGAATTATATTTAGTTAAATAGTCTTCAAGTCTTTTATATACATGTTGGTTAAATAGAGCATGGGTTATGGTTTTGGAGTATGCCCCTGAATATGAATAGCTGATACTGATTCAGTATCTTCCAAAATTGTGCTTAATTATGACCCAAAATTATGGGCAATATGATATGTAGAGCGTTTGATGAAGGGAAAGGTAATTTTACAGTATAATTAGACTGCCGTCTGCATGTGTTTGCTCGAGTGATCAAGATGCTGTTCAGAAACTGGCATTTTTCTATTTTGATGGTATCAAATCAGTCAAAAAAGACAGGCGTAGTTTAAACTATGAACTATATGAAAATAATTCTGATGGAATACAATATAATAGCAATAACAATATTTCATGGTATAACCACCCTTAGTGGAGAATATTGCTTAAACAAACAAATTGTATGTGACTATCTGTGAGGAACATTAACATTTAAAATTTTTGAGAGCATCTCTACAACATCTCTTCAGTATTAATGTTTCTAATTTTGTTTAAATGTCTATCAGCCAATGGTATCGAACAGACCATAATTCTTACTGGTTTGGAGGCATATACTGAATATGAAATCTGGGTGGCAGCTGTCAATACTGTAGGCGATCAAAGTGAAAATTCAGATAAGAAGATTACTCGAACATTAGAGGGAGGTATGTCTTTGAAAAAAATGCCCAAGGTGCTTAAAGTTAATATGACAACTTTTGTTTTGTGTACTGTTGATGTGTCCAGAGTCATTTCTGCCATATTGTTCGACTGATCAAAACTTCTAAGCGACATTCATAGTTTGTGGTATTCTTGTTATAACCTCGTAATCCCTGGACCCGAAACAAAAGTTTAGAATAGTGTTTTATTTTCATCATACTAAATTCAAATAAGTTCTATATAAATATAAAGTATACATAATAAATTTATACCATTTCCATTTTTTGGCTGATATGTTTAATTGTGCTACCGCTCGTGCATATATGTCGTGAATTGTGCAATATCGCAGGTATTTAAAATGCCAAAAAATTACCATACTCACGTAATTCTCACGGCCAAACTCACGCGTGCGCGTGAGAATGGGTGTTTTTACGTGTGTTCTCACGTAACACAGTACACTTCAAGGGTGACAAAGATAAATGCGTGAACGTGCGTGAGAATGATTGTTTTTAGTGCGTTCTCACGTGAAAAAGAAACATTGCGTGAGATCTCTTATAGGGTTTTGTGTCCCGAAAATGCGTTAGATCCTTTATAGATGTTGTGAAAAAGGGAAATACGTGAGAATGATTGTTTTTAGTGCGTTCTCGCGTGAAAAAGAAACATTGCGTGAGATCTCTTATAGGGTTTTGCGTCCCAATCTCACGTGCGTGAGAATGATTGCTTTTAAGTGCGTTCTCACGTTAAAAAGAAACATTGCGTTAGAGTCCGATCTCACGTGCGTGAGAATGATTGTTTTTTAGTGCGTTCTCACGTGAAAAAAAAAATGCGCGAGATCCCTTATAGGGTTTTGCGTCCCAATCTCATGTGCGTGAGAATGATTGTTTTTTAGTGCGTTCTCACGTAAAAATCGAAAATGCGTTAGATCCCGATCTCACGTGCGTGAGAATGATTGTTTTTTAGTGCGTTCTCACGTGAAAAAGAAAAATGCGTGAGATCCCTTATAGGGTTTTGCGTCCCAATCTCACGTGCGC